CTAAATATTTCAATGTCAGCTGTTGGTGGTATTATAACAAAGTGGAAGCAACTGGGAACAGCAACTAAGCCACAAAGTGGTAGATCATGTAAAATGACAGAGCGGGGTCAGCGCATTGCTGAAGCGCACAGAATTCATCAACCGTCTGCAGTGTCAATAGTTAAAGACCTCCAAACTTTGCGTGGCCTTCAGATTAGCACAACAGTGACTGGAATGCCATTAAAGTTCATGTGCGTGTAAAGGCAAGTGTCCCAATATGTTTGGCAATATCGGATATGTGAACCAGCAGTTTTTTCACAAAACAGTTAATTTCAAAGCATGTCAAGCCATCAAATGGCTGATGTCAAAACTGATCACGTGCAGCACCACAGCAACTGCAGATCAAGCACTGGCCAAGATGGCAGCTTGCTGTTCTAAGGCCTTGTTCACATGTGCAGAGAAGTGAGTTTTTCTGCACGTGTTCTGCAAGGGCACAAAGGAAACAACTGTTCTCTATGTGCCTTGTTCACATCACAACACTACTATCATGCAGGGATTCTTTCTGCACAGGAAACTGCAAAGTGTATAAAGCTCAATGAAACACGCATGAAAACTGATGCAAGTGCATGTCTCTAAGTGAAATCTGCACTTTCCACAATCTGTTTTTCTGCACGTATGGGGGGAACGTGGCCTAAAAAGGGTAGGAGAGTTTAGTTCCACTTTTTTTTTTTCCACCTTTAACCACTAGCCTACAGGACACTTATACCCCCTTCCTGCCCAGGCCAATTTCCAGCTTTCAGCGCTGTTGCACTTTGAATGACAATTGTGCGGTCAAGCAACACTGTACCCATATGAATTTGTATAATTTTTTTTTTGTGACAGATAGAGCTTTATTTTGGTGGTATTTAATCACCTCTCGGTCTTTTATTTTTTCTTAAACCAAAAACCACTGAAAATTTTGAAAAAAAAAAAAAAAGTTATTTGTTATAAAATTTTGTAAATAAGTGATTTTTCTCCTTCACTGATGTGCGCTAATGAGGCTGCATTGATAGGCTGCACTGATGAGGAGGCACTGGCAGGTGGCACTGATGGGTATCACTGATGGGCAATGAAAGGCAGCACTGATAGGCGGCACTGATGCACACTGATAGGCAGCACTGACTGGCACTGATAGGCAGCACTGCTGGGTGGCACTGACTGGCATTGATAGGTGGCACTGACTGGCACTGATGGGTGACACTGAAAGGCAGCTCAGATGGGCACTGACATGTGGCATTGATGTGGCACTGGCAGGTGGCATGGATGAGCACTGATGGACACTGACAGCTGGCGCTGCTGGGGCTACACAGATCATCAGTGCTCTGATGATCTGTGCACATGTACCCTCCGAGGAATGCCGATTACCGGCTATCCTCTCCTCACGAGCTGTCAGCGTGACAGCTCGTGAGGAGAGAAATGCCGATAACCGGCATTTCCATGCTTACATGTGATCAGCTGTGATTGGACATCTTCGGCTCTTTCAAATGATTGGTGATCTGCTGTGTCCTAGGGACACAGCGCACCGCTGATCGCCGCACTGCATGGTCCCGGAGCTGCGCATACATGGTTAGAATGGGAGGACGTCATATGACGTCCTCCCAAAACAAGAGAACCGCCTTGCGTCCGTCATTTTACTATATGGCGGGCGGGAGGTGGTTAAATGCACCTCTATCCTTGCACACATAGGCGTTTACAGATGTATTAGAAAAGTAGCATTTACAGGCCAAAAAAAAAAAAAAAAAAAAAAAAAAAAACATCCCCAGTACATTCGGGAGAGGATCCGTTGGGCAGAGAAAATACTTGAAATGCCCAAACGCTAAATGCGTTTAGAGCGTTCATTCCAATGGCTAAAATACTCTTGCCAATGGAATCCATTAACGCCCAAACACTTGACGGGCCTAAAAGCATATACGCTTTTTTTTTTTCCTTTAAAGGCACCTTTTCTCCTGCGAGGAGATAATGCATTCAGGAGAGTGGAGCAAACACTCAGTGTGCACGAGCCCTAACAAAAGGTTACAACCAAGTTTATAAATTCTTACAGTTACACTGAGTGGTCATTGTATCTGGTTAAAATATCCACAGAAACTAGATGAAGGTCAGCCATGCTTGAAAAATATGGCTGCTAAAAAAAACTGATGCAAAAGCATGCACACTCACATTGGAACTTTCCCAGGAAGGTTCAACTATGAGCTTTCTGTGAGTGCTTACAGATATTAAAGTGAAGGAAATAAGTATTTGATCCTCTGCGGATTCTGAATGTTCACAAATGTTTTGTTTCTTCCATTTACGAATGATTGCACCAACTGTTGTCACCTTCTCACCAAGCTGCTTGGCAACAGTTTGGTAGCCCAGTCCAGCCTTGTGTAGGTCTACAATCTTGTCCCTGACATTCTTGGACAGCTGTTTGGTCTTTGCCATGGTGGAGAGTTTGGAATCTGATTGTTTGATTGCTCCTGTGGACAGGTGTCTTTTATACAGGTAACAAAATAAGATTAGCAGCCATCCCTTTAAGAGACTGCTTCTAATCTCAGCTTGTTACCTGTATGAAAAGACACCTGGTAGCCAGAAATCCTGCTGAATGATAGGGGATCAAATACTTATTTCCCTCATGAACATGCAAATCAGTGCATCATTTGTTAGACATGCATGTCTTTTGAATTGTTTGTTGCTATTCTGTCTCTCAGTGTTACAATACACTTACCATTTGATTTTTAGACTGATCATTTCTTTGTGAGAGTGGGCAAACATTCAAAATCAGCAGGGGATCAAATACTTATTTCCTTCACACATGATGAAAAAAATCAGACAAAAAAAAAACAACAAAAACCTGCTTTCGGAGCGATCATCCGATAATCTGATTGTTAGTACACAGCTTTTGAGAGCTGATCACAACAGCTCATGCAAAATTATCCGAAGAGACAAGTGCGAACATTTTTCTTGTATGATACCAGAACAAATTATTTTCATTTAATCAGTACAGTATTTGTACGAAAAAAAATCCAGAGACCAAGACCACGCATGCTTGGAAACAAAGAATACATTACATCACTTTCCAAGTTGTATTCTGTTGTATGAGAATTTTCTTAACTATAGTAACCTTTTCATTTTCAATATGATACTGGCATGCAAAAAAAAAAAAAATATGATTCATCCGATATTCTCATCATGTGTACAAGATGTAGCAGTGTCTCAGAGGGAGCTAGGAAAAGTCCTGTTTGGGGTCTACACATCTTCCAGGCTCCACTCATACACTTTTGTAGATCTCTAATCCTTGGTCTAGTTCAGGTGTTAATCCTCTCCCCTGGGGCAATTTAGACTCACCTGGATCCTGCAGTCAGTGCTCTCACTCCTGGGGAAAAGACAAGTCATGTCTGGGAAAGCTGAAAGGTTGGTGTAAGGCGTGAAACTACATTTGTGGAAACTGACAAGCATTAGGCTTGCTCAGTCTGATAGTCAGAACTTGTGTAGTGAGTGGCGGGACATGCCTAGGATTTTATTTGTAGTTTTTGCCTTGTTAATTTCCTGTAACACTGTACAGCACCTGTAAACAGCACCATTAAAAGCTGCAATGTGTGTCACTACATAATTGGACTGGTTCCTGTGCCTAAGTGTGCCCACCCCAGGTTGTTTTTGTACCTGCTACCTATCCCCAGCTCAGAGGCTTTAGCACATGGGCACTAAGGCTACTTCATTCTATTTTCACTTTTGATGCTAAAGAAAAAGTCCCAAAAGTCATACTGCACAGCTCATTACATAGGTCTAGCTTGTCAGAGAATTCAGTGAAACTACACAAGCATCAGTCTTTCCTCCCTACAGAAAATAAAAAATCTTTAGAATAAAAAAAACAAAACCAAACAGCATGTTGTATAAAGAAAAACAGTTACCTATAAAATTGTCAAGCCCGTGGCACAAAATGTGCTTACTTACAGTTGTTGGGCTGTTGCATATAGCAAAAAGCTGTGTAGAATGTACAAAAACCCATAAATTGCTAAATTTGGATTAGTAAAATAGAAATTGATTCAAACTGAAATATGACATCATCACACTTGTTTCTTCAATGCTACTTCTTGAGCGGATTTACTAAAAAAGCCTGTAAGTTTTTGTTAACGTAATATGCGAGTAAGGCCCCATTCACACCTAGCACCTAGGTGAATGCATTCTTTGCACCCCTCTTTTTATGCAAATTTTCTGTGCATTTCTGCACCTCAAATAATGGCCATGCAAGTGTGAGTTTTTTCACACATTTCTGGAATGCACAGTTGTGAATGGGGTCTAAACAGAAGGATTGTTGTAGTTTTAAATCTTCCAACATAAAAAAAAAAAATTACCTTTTCTTTGATTTGCCAAGAACTTCCTTTTGGATACAGTCTCTTTTCCCATAACATAACAACGATTCCTCGAGCCTGCAGCAAACTTGCACAAACATCTCTCAGGAGTCTAGAAACTCTTGAAAGCTGGCACAAAGTAAAACCATCAAGAAATCCTGCAATATGCTGCAGAACTTCGTATGGCAAGCTACTAAAATGATCCACAGATGGGCTTTGGGGTGAGTTCTTCATTGACTGACTTTTGCTCGGTATGTTTGGCTGAACCCCAAAAGACTTCAAGTGGCGATCATGAATTATTTTTGATCCTTGGGTCAATGGGCAAAATCTACGTTGAGAATAAGTGCATCCATAATATGCCAATGGACATCTTTGCTCCATCCATCCATTTAAACCTGCATGAATATCAGCATGCACATTCTTAAAGTGAGCAGAAAATTCGTCTCTTCTAAAGAGCTGTCCGCATACAAACGTAAACATAGACCTTTGTTTGACTTGGTATCCTGCAACGTATTCTAGAACCAAGTCTAGGCCAAGTGTCTGGAAAGGACTAGGATTGGAAAGCTGAGGATTAGCATGGTCACAAGCACAGGCTGATGCAATATCCCCTACCATTGTATTTGTTGCCAATATTGCAGATGGAAATGAAAAGGTTTGGGTTCCACAGTCAATATGATTAGAATCTACATTTCGCCTTTCAGAAATTCCTCTACCTCCTGGTGACTCTCCTAAACAAAACAGAAAAAGCAGCTGTGACTAAATCAATGCGATTGAGTCCCATAGGATCCTCTTGTACTTCCAGATCAGAGGTGTCTACTGCCTTACTTTCAGTCCTAGCTTTAAACCAATATGAATTACCGAGAAATGGGCTTCTTCCAAAGACAGCAACATTTCGGAACCACTGTTCACCATTTTTATCCATTTGCTCCTCAGAACCATTTTTGATACATGTAGCCGAGAGATGCTCAACACCAAGAAAAGAACCATTATGGTTTACATGTTTTTTACTGCCATCTAGGGGAATACCAGCATTTTGTCTTGACACTACAGTAAATACATCCTTTTCATCATTGTGGAAACCATTACACATTACAGATGTTTGCTTTATATTCAGGTCTTCACATTCAGCTAAATCACTACAGTCTCTTTGACAGAAATCACTGGAACCATTTTGATGCAACTGTTTCAAGGGACTGCACATCACGTCATTAGAAGCCCCAGTGCATTCTTCAACAAATCCTTGATCTTTAAATATATCACATCTACCATTTTGTTCAGAAATCTGAAATTTTTTGTTCATCTCAGAACTGGCATCTCTTAACCTACCATTAAGCATAGCAATGTCTCTTGTAGCGTTATTTAATATGTCCAGGGCAGCAGCTAAACTCTTTGTTGTCTCAAGTGTTGCTTGATAAAATGCATTATAAGAGTCTTCATCACTAGAAACATCCTTTGAAAGCATTTTATTATCATTTTCTGCTTTACCAGGTATCGGTTCATGACGTTCAAGCTTTTCAGTTGTTTTAGACATCATCGTTGCCACTTTGAGAGATTCCAGAAGCATTCTTTGATCTTGCAAAGCTAAAGCCAGATCTAGCTGTTCTACTTTATCAACATCTGTGCTGAGGTTTTCGTAAGATGTTCTATCTGCATAGTTTACTGGCCATCTATTCCACTCCATTGTACAGCATACTACATTTGCAGGACAGTACTGTAAATGTTCAGCTAACTTATTTCGAGTCATTACAAAGGGGCAACCAAATCCTTGGTTTAAACAAGGCACTCTTTCTAGGGGGCACAATATGCGATGTTCATCAGCTTTGCAGGCGTGAAAGACCGCCCCACAAACATGGAGGCAGCTGACTAAATCACATGATACTCCAGCCTCTAGCTTCATCATACAGCGGCGACTGACACAGCTTGCACAGTGTAAATGTTGATTTTCTTCATTCATGATGAGGCCTAATCTGGGAAAAAAAAAAAAAGTAGATCATCTTATTTGATGCAGTCTTTTCTTCTAACGACACCTTTGTCAGCTATCTTTTATTGCTATAATTTTTCCATGACGTGTCTCAAACAATTTTCCCTAGTTCTGAAACCGGTTTTACTGTACAAGAACAATGTCTTCCTTTTGGCATGCTACAAATATGCAGTGTCATATCAAGTTGTATAAGGGCTTTTAACATTCTATGTATCAAAGTTAGAAACAAGGCAATTCTGGCTAACATAATTTACACCACATATCTATCCCAAGTAATCTCAGATCTGCCCCAGGTTGGAGCAAATCATAAGACAATATTGTTACTCCTACCATGATGGAAGTATTAAGCATACACTTTTAATTCAGTTGCACCTCAGATAAATTTTTTGATATGTTAAATGCCTCTACAAGAGGGGAATATGCCTCTGCCATTAGGGTCATCAGAACATTCCAAAAAATGAACTCCAAGATCAGCATACCATACCCTTTCTCATGCAGGAACTCCAAAATCTAAAACAAAACCCATTCCAGCACCGTGGAAGCTAAAGCTACAGGAATTGAATCTATTACACTTTTATTTTTGATGCACAACAGTGAAAATCTTTCAAAGAAGGTAATAAAAAAGAAAGCTACCGGCTATGCTGGTGGCAGAAAAACAAAATACTAACATCACATGCATTGATATATCACATACAGGAGGACCAACAGAGACCATGCAAACTTATGTGGAATATTACCACAGTAGGTTTAAAAAAAAATTCCACTATATGATGAGCAATTCTTGGGGACCCTGTTGGCAGAACGACCCATACAATTCCTATCAAACATACTTAACACTATTAATATAGTGTACAAAAAAAAAAAACAGACACAGCCATTAAAATAAGGTCATAGCCACATCCCATTAGACAGGGGAACCTAATCAAGGCTGTCCCCTACACCATTTGTGTTAAACGAATAAAACCCATAGACATCATAGCCATCCAGACATGGCTTGCAAAAAAAAAAAAAAAAAAAAAAAAAAAAAGTTATCAAGGGACAATAAGAAGCACTAAGGAAGCAAGGAGAAATCCAGTTTCCAGGCTACCCTGCTCCCAAGTGGAAGAAGAATCCAAGACAAAAAAGTACCAATGCTAATAGGAACCCATTTATTAGGAAAGACAGGGGTCAGCTTGGCTGGAGAAAGAATGTACAAAGTCAGCCAGGACCTACAGGATCTTAAATGGAATGCTGCAAGCCATCCTGTATACAACGAGGGACAAGTAGAGAACTCAGAATGAGGTTCCCTATCAGACCACAAGGTGGTTCTGCCTTTACAGGTATTACAGAAAAGGGGAAATCGACCTGCCTGAATGAAGATGTAAGGGGGTCATCGAAAGCAACAGCAGAATGCGCCAATGTAAAGAATGTGTAGAAAGTAGGAATATCAGGAATTTGCCTGACAAAGTTCATATAGACCACAGAAGGCACAGAAAGGGGACCACCCAAGAAACCCAGAAAAGAGAGGGATGGCAACCTTTTCCAATACAAAATTGACAAAGTTATCCGATACCAAAGTTAGAAACTACAGAAGAGAAGACAGACTAAACACCCTAGCTCAGAATTGTGCGAGTTGGCAAACTGTAGCCATGGAAGAGTTAGGAAGGGTACATCAGGGCTCAGGACAAGGCCAGGATGGGCATACCATGGCAAATTGACTAGTAGGGGCTCTAGGTTTTGAACCCAACCTCCTGAAGTAGAGGGGATTAGGAACTGGGGATCGGAGAGTGTAAACTACCCCTGGGCTGCCTTGAGGAGAACCCACATAAGATTTTTAAAAGGGTATGGTAAGGGGGGGGGGGGGGAAAGAGTCTAATCTTGTAAGTAGTAAGAAAAGGCTTACAGGGATGCATGGACAGGAGGTGAGTATACCAGTCAGGCTGCTTTTGTAAGAAAGGAAAAATTTCCAGACATCAGATTTAGCCACAGATGTACAGGAGTTTTTGCAACGCCTAATTATAGATTGGTTATAGATTGGTTGTAAAGCTTTGCTCTGGGGGCACTGTTCGTGCTTGCTCCCAATCCAGCCCTGTATGTCCATAAGACATGCAGAACATGTCTCTCAGCCAACGAGGAGAGAAAGCAGTGGATTGCAATCAGGCTCCGGTAAGTATTAGCGGGGCTGAGGGGGGAGCTGCACACTGAAGGTTTTTACTTTCATGCATAGAATGCATGAAGGTAAAACACCTTCAGCCTTTAGAACCACTTTAAACCAGCCTTTCCCAACCATTTTACCACGGAGAAACCACTAAAATAATTTTCAGGCCACAGGGAGTCCTTAAAGAGGATCTTCAGCCACTTCTCCCCTCTTCCTTACCCCCCCCCCTTCCCCTCACTTACCAGGTGGTCCTGGGTGACATATTTATGATACTCATCCACACAGAGGATCCAGAGCTGTCCTGCTGAGATCCTCTTGTTTTCTGCCACCTTTTGGTCCTGCGACGCCATGTTGACTGTGACATCAAGAGACCCACCAGCTCTTCCTGGTTTAGCCAGAGTACCTCCTGATGATGCGCTGCTAGGCCCCTCCTTTCTGAATGAAGCGTATGCCTCCTGGGATATGTGACAAGGAGGCAAAAGGGAGAACCTTGCACGGCATTAGTCTAGGACATCTCTATTTCAACAGCATAGGAAGTCTTTCCTGAGGGTTAAGATCTGCTTTAAAAACAGTAATTCATTGAGGGCCCATGGCAAAAATACCCCCCTGTGGTGTTAAAAATGCCACCCTTACAGACAGCTAAAAAAATAATTGGTGTCATGCTGCTGGCATTGTCAAGTGGCATTGATCCTGCAGCAATGATGGCATCATCAAATGGGAGGTCAATTAGCCACAGTTCCAAGAAACCCCAAGGAACATCTGGAGGAACCTTGGTTAAGAGTCAGTCACTGAAATAATGAAATAGTTTATATCAAACGCAACTTGTGCACTGTGGTTCCTTTGTAGTAGAGATGAAAAAATGCCAGAAATTGTGAAGCCGTGAGAACACCCCCCCCCCCCCCCCCGAAAAATTGGAAATTTAAAATAAAACAAAATCAGCGTGAAGTAGTTTTACAATTTGAAAGTGGTTTTGTTACGCTAGTACACTGAGAACTTGAAATGCAGTGTATATAAAAGTATTCTGCTTGAAATAAAAGTACAGCTTATTCAGTAAATAAATTAAACTTGATTTTTAAAACTTTTTTTTTAAAAATGGAACAAGAGCTATACATGTTAAGAACATTTCAACTACACATGAGAACAGATAACGACCCTGCTGTCCGTCATACTAATTAAAAGCTTCCTGCAATTATGCATTTTCAGTTATTGACCATCCCGATATAGCATGATGAAGCATATTGTGACCATACCAATGAAGCATATATTGCTCTTGCAAGAGCTTGATGAATTTTCTCCTGATTTTCAGGTGTTATTTTATCTATAAATTAAAGGTATACTTTCCTACTTGAAGATGCTACTGGTGCAGAAACACTTTGTGAAGATCCAGAAGCAGTAGAAAGATTGCTTCTGGAATGAGAACTCTGGAGGGAAAAGTTACTTGACCTTTAATTATGATCCTTATTATTTAATTCCATAAATCATTTAATTCCATAAAGTATTTTTTTTTATGTTCTTAGGGCACCTCTGGAATGCAAGGATGTGTTTCGTCATCCTTGTAGCATTTGGAAAAAGAATATTTCTTCTCAATATTTGCACATTGCATCTTTGCTCTCAGAAGAAACTGCACTGTGGAAATGTTTCCAAACTCTAGATGTTGGTCCCACCATTTTACTGAGGAAGTAAAGAAAAAACAATTTACTGACATGACTAAGGTAACCATTATGCTGTGACGGTGGAGAACATTAACAGGAATCATTTAAAAGGTTATAAACTAATTTGTCAGACAGATTTACCTTCTTACCTGTCTGTTAAGGCCTGAGAGGACAGAAACTTTCATCTACTATATCCTAACAATCACCCAACTATACCCCACAAGCAAACTAAACTGGAACCTTTCACCTGCAAAGCCCCCCCCCCCCCCCCCCCCCCCCCCCCCAGTGGCAGAAATGCATATTTCTCTTGTTTGGGAACTTCATTGAGAAGTACAGTATTACTTTTATTATTTATTTGCTGGACTTTAGCTAAGAGAGATTACAATAATTTAAGACTTTACATAAAGTCTCAGCAATCTTTCATTAGGGTCTTCATGTTATATAGTTTGAATACCATGTCATAGACATATTATTCATTACTGTAAAAGAACATATTACACAATTCTCTTTTTTTCAAAATTTTCACAAAAAAAAAACAAAATAACGGTCTTGAAAGAAACCGAAAAAGATTTTTTTTTTTTTTTTTTTTTTACAATTTTTCCATTTTTTCCCATGCCTTCCCATTTCTATTCAAGAGTTAGTAAGTCCTTAGGTTTATTCTAATTAGGAAAGCAAACAAAAGCCCACCGTAATGAGAAATTGAGAATGGGGTTAGGAAAGCCTTGTTCTTTCCCAAGCCGTGAGTAGAAGTGGAAATAAACTAGAGAGGGGAGGGGGGACAGCAATTAAAATTAATTGTGCACCTCCTGTAAAAGGTAGAATGAAAGGAAAGCTTCAGACTTCTCTTTAAGCTGAGATAAGTGGACTAACCCTTCACCTCTATGACTAGGGGTAGATCTTTGGAGCGAGGAAGGCTTTTTATCAGCTCCAGAGAACTTATGAGGGCAGAGGTTTGCTATGACCGGAAGTTTTTGGAACATGTAGGAAAGAAAAAATTATTTTTTTTTCCCCGC